ACCAGCAAAGCAAAAAAAAAACATAATCGTTACTCAGACTATACATTTTTTGAATAGTGTAGAAATGGCAGGGATTGTTCCTGAACAGTGGTCATCAGCGGAGAACGGTAATGCAAACATGACGGCGAAGGGATCGAGCAGAGAGCTGAGACATGGAGGAAGAACAGCTCACAACATGTCTTCTTCATCGTTGAGGAAGAAGTCTGACATAAGAGTGATCCAAAAGGTTCCATACAAAGGTCTTAAAGATTTTCTCTCCAATCTTCAAGAAGTCATTCTCGGCACAAAGCTAGCCATTCTTTTCCCGGCCATACCTGCCGCAATTATCGGCACGTATTGCGGCTTCAGCCAGGTTAGATTTGTCAGCTTGTAACGATTCTCGTGAACTAAACATTCAGAACATTGCCAAACTTCTCATCTAGTTAAATGAAAGCAAATAATGGGGAAATCGTGGTTAAGTTTTAATATATTTTGGCATTAGTTAAGCAATGTTTAAATTATGGGTATGAATGGTGACCAAGGAATGACGAGGAATAATCTATTTCTTAACATTCCTAAAAAAAATCACCATTCGCAAGGAATAATTTTCCTTTCTTGTTCCTTCTGATTCCTTTTTTTTGTAGAGGAATATAAAACAAAATTATTCCTTGTTAAAATTGATAAGGAACAATCATTCCTTTTTGTTCCTGCAAATTTTTTCCTATCCATTTTTTTTCCTTTCATTCTTATCGTTCCTATAATAGTTACCAGTTAGACCCATATTACTACTCAACTTTAAACCAAGGGAGATTATTCATTGGAAGAATTTAAGTGATTGGTTCTGCAATCATTAAGCGTTTTGAGATTAATGATTTGGTGTTTAATGCCACGTAATTAACAAATGATAAATTACCATATACTATGCACATACTTAACATTATGTTAAATTGCGAACGTTACAGCCGTGGATATTTGGGCTGAGCATGCTAGGACTCACACCTCTGGCTGAACGAGTCAGCTTTCTGACAGAGTAAGTACTTGATTCATTCTCATCCAAGTACTTCATTCTTATCCCATTCCTTTACATTTTATTTATTTGAACTCTTCACGTTACGGTTTTTCTTTTCGATCAAGACAAGATTTAGCCAACTGTCTATGGAATGTATTCATCTGTAGATAAAATATCACGTTAAATCAATATTTTATGTCAAGATTTAACCCGCTGCAACTTTGTCAGTACTTTATTTGAAATTGAGGATTATTACGAATCTTATACTAGTTAGGTCGAATCCACCATAAATTTGTTCGTTTATTACTTTGCTTTTTTGAAATAAATGGACCAATATTCTTTGGGAATTCGTCATCGCATTATTGGGTATCAGTCACTCACTCATATGTCGACGTGACAACATAGTACAAAACTTTATCCTTTTAATATTCAACTAGAGATTAGGATCTCGAATCATTTTTATACCAATGTATTTGTTAGTGATTTTATAGTTTTTATTCATGTGGTTAAGTCTACATTAACATCTCTCGTGCTTCCCATGCAGGCAACTAGCTTTCTACACCGGTCCTACATGTAACGTCTCTTTTGCCTATACATATATTGTTTTCAATCTACACAGCAAGTAACTTATTTTATCATTAGAAACTCAATTATTTTGTGTGTAATTTGAACCGCAGTGGGTGGCTTATTGAACGCGACTTGTGGAAACGCTACGGAATTGATAATCGCGATTCTTGCATTGACCAACAACAAAGTCGCAGTGGTAAAATACTCGTTGCTAGGTTCCATTTTGTCGAACCTTCTATTGGTTCTCGGGACTTCACTCTTCTGTGGTGGAATTGCTAATCTCCGAAGGGAGCAACGGTTCGACCGGGTATAGCTTCCCTCCCTATGTACTCTGATTATATCAAAAGTCAAGACTCAAAACCAATAGTACAGTATTTTGTTTATTTTTTAACCTAACTGAGCCGAAAATGTAATAGGTTTGGTTCGATTAGTCTTAAACGGAATTATTAGGGTTATTTAAGTTATGAATAATCAAATATTTATAGCTAAATTTAGGTAATGGACGTGAGGTACCAAGTGAACTTGAACTTATTTGGTGATGTTCTTTTTTTTTTTTATTGTTGCAGAAACAAGCCGATGTGAACTTCTTCTTACTTCTAATGGGACTGTTGTGTCACTTGCTGCCAATGTTGTTCGGATACGTTGCAAACGGAGAGACTTCGGCTGGTTTAGTTGCCGACATGTCACTGAATCTGTCACGAGCCAGCAGTATTGTTATGTTGATCGCTTACATCGCATATCTCGTTTTCCAACTTTGGACTCACCGTCAATTGTTTGACGCACAAGATGAGGTACATAAATATATATACACGTAAGATAATAAAGAGAAAGAGTTGAATTTTTTCTTGTTCTAACAAATTTTTAAAATGTAACTTTGGTTCAGGATGACCAGTATGATGACAATGTCGCTGAGGAGGAGACCGCTGTGATTAGCTTTTGGAGTGGATTTGCATGGTTGGTTGGGATGACTCTTGTCATTGCATTGCTATCGGAGTATGTTGTGGCAACAATTGAGGTAACTTTTGTTATAGTCTCATAAAGTTCGACGAATGAACTAGTTCATAACTTTTAACATGAATTGCTAGAGCTTTTTTTGAGTCTTTTTTTTTTTTTTTTTTGAGTCTTGATGATCATATATATATACATATGAATAAACTTNTTTTTTTGTGTTTTTTTTTTTTTTTTTTTTGAGTCTTGATGATCATATATATATACATATGAATAAACTTAATTATATGGCATTACTTTTGGTTAGAACGCATCGGAATCATGGGGCCTATCAGTGAGTTTCATAAGTATCATATTGCTTCCTATTGTTGGAAACGCGGCTGAACATGCTGGAGCCATCATTTTCGCTTTCAAGAACAAACTTGTGAGTTTATAAAAAAAACTTGTGGATTAACCAAAAATGATACAATGCATAAACTCAATTTTAATGGAAATAATTTGCAGGACATATCTTTGGGAGTTGCGTTAGGATCTGCAACTCAGATTGGTTTATTCGTCGTCCCATTGACCGTTATAGTGGCATGGATTCTAGGGATTAACATGGATCTCAATTTTAATCTTCTTGAAACCGGCTCTCTTGCTCTTTCCATTATCATCACAGCCTTCACATTACAGGTTAAAACATTTTCCAACATTTTACAAAGATTATCTATCCATTAATACAAATCAATGAATGAATGATTTACCAATTCAAGTATATTTTTGTGTGGTTATTCAGGATGGAACTTCTCACTACATGAAGGGATTGGTTCTCTTACTTTGCTATATCATCATCGCCATTTGTTTCTTCGTTGACAAACTTCCCCAAAGTGAGTTAAATTCTACTCCCTCCAAAAAAATGGTTTTCTAAAATATTCATGTATATTAAGAATGCAATAAATATTTATAATTAAATTTATTACTTATTTTATATTACTTTTTCTAATAATTATTAACGAATACTAGTTTTTAATCAATTTAAGTATATTCAATTAATGTTTCTTAAAAGTATACAAAAATATCTTAAATATATAGAAAATCTATTTTTATGAAGCAAAAATAAAATCTACAAAAACTTACTTTAGAGGGAGTATATGTATATATTAGATTTACACATTACTTGTTAATTAGATTGACATTAAGATTGCCAAAAAAATAGAGTGACATTAATAATTACATAAACACAAAACTAATGTGATCATTGTTTTTTTTTCAGAACAACCAAATGCTATTCACTTGGGACATCAACCAATGAACAATGTCGCCGCTGCAATGGGCGAAGGCGTTTTCTCATCTTAAAAATGATGACAGTTATTTTATTCAGTTTTTCAAATATTGGAACACAACTTGTCAGAGAGATTTAGTCTGGTGGGTGAGTCTTGATGAAGATAAGTATTGAGAAGATTTTTTGAAATGTTCATTATGTTTGGGTTTTCGATGGACTATCTATATGAATGCTTTATCTCCCATCTTTCATTTTTAAAGTTATCTTTTCATGATTAATCATTTTCTGAGCAGTTAATAAGAAATTATGAATAATTGGGTTATTAAATTTCTTTTCTAGTGATCAACAATCAAACATGTCAAAAGTATTCAGTACCACTAATAAATATTTGTTTCGTTGTACTTGCAAAACATAAGGCGTAGCATTTCAGGGAATCTGAGAGTAACAAGAAGTGCTCCAACAAACTCGATGGAAAATAACGAGTCATCTTGATAACCATAACATATACTATGCTTTCCAGATAACATCTAATGAAATCTCTGTTAACTTTGTTGCAGCACTTTGCTTCAGCATAAATCGATTAGTACCATTAAAGAGTTGGCAAAAAAAAATCAACTAAATCATTAAAGAGTTTGGCAAAAACAAAAAATCATTAAAGAGTTTGGCAAAAACTATTTAATTAGAATCACTAATTACTTAATCTTTTTTTTTTAAGTTCAAGAGGTTAGTTTTTAAAGCAACATTGCACTGAAAAACTGAAAGATAGCATTTGTGAAAAAATGAATATACAGTTAGAACTATATATGAACATGCATTAGTATTGATGAATAATTGTAGAGATGTCCAATCATTGTAACATTATATAAAATGTTTAGATATGTCTTTAGTACTAAAAATCTTCAACATGAACAAAAGAATATGGCATTCCTACAAGTTAGTGGTACGCACATCTTCTGCATATCCCACAAGTGGAATCATATGTTATCTGTATGACAACCAAACTCATACATAAGATTGACCTAACAACATAATAAAAATGTACATTTATTTCATATTTGTATAGTTTGTTTTGTTTAAAGCCATAAAATCAAATATAGCCTCTAGAAAATAGGATAGATAAATTCTACCTCTCACCAAAACACCATTAAACACATTTTAATATTATAACTCTTAGACCTATCATCCTTTTGAGGTTTTTGACTTCCCCTCTCTGTTCTAAGCCATTGTGTAACAATGGAGAAGGATAATAGCAATAAGAAGAGTCTCTCTGAACAGCTCAAGTACACGAATGCCCCCGTCTTCTCCACCGCCATTTTCGCCTTCATAATGCTGCTTGTTGTGGTGGGAACAATGCTCTCAAACATGTCTCTAGAGTCAACTTTCTTCTGGACAACACCGACCTCTGAGGTAATCACAATGGAGAGAAAGCCATTGGCTCCTCCTAAGAACAGTTCAAGCAGATACAGGATGGCTTGGCTTCGTTCTCACCTCTCAGAGTTCGAGGTTTTCAAGTCAACTAACCTCTCGGAGCAGTTTCATCAAAGGGTTCTTGACTCTTTAAATGATGAATGCGAGGTTAGATTCTTCATGACATGGTTCTCACCAGCAGATTATTTCGGAAAGAGAGAGTTTCTAGCTGTAGAAAGCGTCTTTAAAACCCATCCTCAAGGCTGCTTGATGATTGTATCAGGATCCATGGACTCTCCACAAGGAAGTACCATCCTTAAACCGCTACTTGATCTTGGGTACAAGGTGTTTGCATCCACACCAGACATTTCATCCCTTCTTGAGAACACACCAGCCAAAACTTGGTTTCAAGAAATGAAAAGCTGCAAAAGAGATCCAGGAAGGATACCGTTATCTCAGAACCTTTCAAACCTCGCAAGGCTAGCGATTCTATACAAGTACGGAGGTGTGTACTTGGACACAGACTTCATCGTCACTAGAAGCTTCAAAGGGTTGAAGAACTCAATAGGAGCACAAA